AAATAATATTATATAAGATAATTAATATCAAGATAAATAATATAAAGAAAAATATATATAATATTAACATCTCGAGAAATCTCAAAATTGAAAAAAATTAAAATTATCAATTAATGCTCAATTTATTTTTTGCAGAACTATATTATGTGTATATTTAAACAAATGTTTTATAATTTAAACTGGTTATCGCAAAAATTTTAATTTCTCGCATTAATATTAACAGACGATTTTACGTAAGAATATTTATGTGATATTTCCATGTATATCGTATGTTTATTTGGCATGCAAACTAAAGTCATGCATACGAAAAGCATCGGAAAACGTGACATACTCGATCATGTCCGTCATAAAGAGACTTCGACCGCATACAATTCCGAGACGTAACGATAATAAAAGTAATAATAAAAAACTATGGAAGCGCGTCCAGGAGGAATCTCAAAGTTCAAATATTAACAACGTCAAGCTTCGTTGCTTCACCATTTGCTATGTAAATAAGAATTTTAAGGTCGCTCGTAAAACAAGAAAAAAATTAATAAATCGACATTATCACACAAGTCTCGTCAAAATTAATATACACATATCAAAATTTTGACGTTAATTAACTCTTCGTACGTAGTAAATTCGGTAGTACTTGCTTCAATCAAAGTATAATTCGCGTCATCGCCGACTCATTATTATCATTTTATCGCATGATACATGATAATTCTTAACTCGGAATCGAGGCTTACGATATGAAATCTTTTTGCAGCTTTATATTTAATCTTAAACGCAATTCCATAACATATTATATTTTTTTTTTTTAAAGTCGAAAGTAACTATAAACTATATATCTCAATTAGTTTCATTAATTAAATAATAAACGTTAAATACGCGATTTCTTCAGAATCTATTTTCGTTATAAGTTTCTGAGAAGAGCATTATCACCCTTTTCAAGAAATTACTAAGGAACGTCACTTATTTTCAAATTGGAAGCAATTTTAAAATTCGCAAGGGACATATATGATACACCTCATAAAAAGAGCATAGTTATCGTTATCAAAAGCATCATGCTTGGAAGAAATAATAAAGTCTTATGTCTGATGAGTAAATGACAATCTCTTTGATAAACGTATGATGTGTGTAAGTGCCCGATTCATTGTTAGCTTGTCGCTCATTGCATTCCGAACTTTTGTGAAGAAATCCCGGTAGTCGCGAGAATATAAAAGAATAGGAGGGAAATAGAGTAACCGCGATCAAGTCGGGGCGATAGGATGTGAAAGGTGCAATTCATGCAACTGCAGTGGATCAAAGAGATGTTGACATTGATTGGTGGTCTGATCGTCGCCTATTTCGTCTATGTTTTGATCATAAAGAAAAATGGTAAATATCCTATGCTAAACATTTATTTTTCTTGAGTATATTTGAAAATTGGCATATTTAAATAAATTCTATATGTTACTATATAAATTTTATTATGGTTACATTATATGTCAAGTATTATTTACACACACACACATACACATACACATTAATGATTTTAATGATTTTAACTAATCAAAAGTACAAGAAACTAAAGTTAAATGAACAAGCAGGTTCAAATTGTGCAATTTGATACGACGAGTAGAAATTATTACAACTTTGTTGAACTATTTGCAATAATCAATATTATTCATAGATGTGTGCACATATTTGAACATACAATTTTTGTTATCGTAAAATATCGTTTTATCAATATTTGTTACAATGGATATGCGACACATTGGTATGCTATAATCTTTTCGCCGCAAAAATCTTTGACTTCTTATCTTCTTATCTCTAAATAATCCGCAGATAGATGAAGAACTGCAATGATTATAATAAGAAAATAATAACCTGACAAAATTATATTATATTATAATATTTAGAGAGCATATATTAATTTTATTAACTATATATTTTTAGCATTTTATTTTTTGTTTTATCTGGGAATTATTTGTAATGTAATACACGTTATCTTTTTTTCATTCAATCAATGAATTTTCGCAAGTAAAGTTCCGATTTTATTTTATATATGCTTAATTATCTTTCTATTTATTTATTATATCTATATATATTTTTCTTAGCAAGTAATGATCAAATAGTGAAAAAATGCAGCAAAGATATTTAATATAATATTCCGCATACTTTTTCCCACTTCTTTATGTTCTATTTTAATATTATAATATATTATATTTCATTTTCTTATTCCAAACTGTTACTATTCCCACTAAACCACATCTAGATGTATGAATTCTTTTTCTTTTTCATTGTACATCAACGATTTCGAATTTTCGCATGAAAATATGTTCTCGGGTCGCACATTCTCGCAAGAGATATCGTCGTTTTCTCTCCGCGCAAAACTGGTCCAGTAACCTCTTCTCAAAATCATTGAATGCAATAGACCATTTATAACATCGCGATCGAAGAAAAACGAAAAAAAGGAAATGCCTTTGCGCAACGGTTTTACGATTTCCGTTATCCGGATTTTTGCGGGAGAAGTTCGTGCTATATTAAGGTATCGCTGTTGAATGAACGTTGAATTTCTCCGCGAAGAGAACGAGTTTCCCACATAAAACACGCTCGTTACCACGTCTCAGATAGAGTTTATCCACCAATTATCCACAAATTATTCACATACAAATAGAAAAGTATCTATCTGTAAACCAAATTGTTATTTTATAGAGTATTGTTTCTCAATAGTGTGATAATTGACGTTACGTCGTGAGAAAGACGATGGTATGATTCTTGACTTCTTTTAAATCGATGCTCTTATAAAATAAATTGTATGGTAAACGAATGTACTAACAGTTGTGTTTCGAGCCAAAATTAAAATTGTTGTAATATAAGTAAAACTACATAAAGAAAATTATTATAGAAATCAATAAAAAAATTTATGTAGAACTCTGAATCGTAAAAGTCTCTATTTGATAATTTTTTGACGTTGATCTGTCATACATTAATGATTAATGATTTTGACGGTTGTTATTTTGACATCATTCTTCTCTTTGCAATTTTGATATTAAGTTGCAGTCATGTAAACGATGACGTCAATCAAGCTTTATTTTTTTAGTCTGAGCATGGTAAAAAAACTCGAATATCTTGTACTAATTATACATGATAATTGTTTCTTTACGTCACGCACGCTACTGGAATATATCGTTTAATATAGTCGTACGAGGAAAGTAAAAGATCGATCGAAGGCCAATGGCGATGTCACTGGCTTTATCATCATTAACGGATGTCGAGAACACGATTTTGCTTGCTAAAGCAATCTTTCTTGCATGCCGGTTAATAATACATACGACTTATGTTTAAAGCGGCCGTCGCCGTCTCGCGCGCGAAATACCTGTAGTCGACCTTCACCTTCTACGGCGTGAGATCAAGGCTGGATGGTCTCGGGAAGAGATCCCTGGATCGATTATGCGTATAGAAGAAGCGTCTGTGTGATCCACGACATACCGAACGTGTGTGTGATTCACGACTGTATGGAGAAAGAGAGGGAGAGAGAAAGCGTCGCCTCACGCAGTTGGCACGCAACGTGTTTATTTACAAATTGTTCGACGTAGCCTTGGAAGGATTATTATAGTTCTCTCTCTCTCTCTTTCTATTTCTCTCTATGCTATTTACATATACATATATAGGGTATCGCGGATAATATAATATATCTCTCTTTTCGATCAAAGATTCCTTGACTAAAATCTGAATCTTATTTTGTCAACAATGTTTTTAAACAAAATTTTTATCATATGGAAACTTGAAAAATTTACATTTGAAAATAATTGAAGATCATCAGAACATTCCCGTTTTTGTTGGTAATATCAAAAATTTTCGAAATTATAGAAATCTGATTTTTCTTTTTCTTAAGAAGAGTCCGAATAGACTTCTTTAAGAATTCTAACGATTATTCTAAATACAGTAAAAACAGGACTAAAGATCTTTTAATTTTCCAATTTTCGATAAAAATTAAAAACTTTCAAGAGTTGTGAAAGCATAAACTCTTCTCCCTTTCTCATTTTAAAGACTAACAAGTTAAAATACATCGTGCAATCATTCATTTAAATCAAGCAATAAGTATAAAGTTTCCAGAATACAGATTATTCAGAAAATAAAGATGGGTGAAAATACAGACGGAGTAAAAATCATCGCCGCAAACGTGACTGCCGATAAAAGAGCGTATCTCAAGTTTCCCGCAGAAAGAGTTCAGGAGGTCGGCAAATTTCACCTGCAACGCGTGATCCTCACGTCGAGCAAGATGAAACGCAAAAGGTAGATGCAGAGAGAAAAGGAGAGACGGGATGAAGCCGCGAGAGAATCGTCGACGAGAGGAGTGGTCGCGCGAGTATGTATCGTCGGCAAGGTCGCGTCGGAGAAATTACGAGGGAGATGCGGCGGCAGTGATGGTATTTGCGACATGCTGCCGGCCGTATATCGCCGTTATCTCGCCATGGCTCGATCACGCCGAAGAAAGTCGCGGCCGGCCGTGTCGATGCCGGTGAACTGTCCGACAGTCGCTCGGAACTTTCCGTGGAAACCGCGATCGATCCATGGGATCGCCATTCGATCGCGAATCAATAATAGTGGAGTCACGGACGACATAAAATAATATTTCTAGTTAGAAAAATTGTCATTTCTTTCTTCGTCCAAAAAGGATTTCTTCTTTTTTGATGCCAGCGTTTTGAACTATTTTTTATATTAATAATGGGTGTTATTATGGGATAAGAATGTAGTCGGTTAAATTGTTAATATGAAAAAAACATGATCTACGTCGCTCTGTCGCCGAAATCCGCAGCAAATTCATCGAAATTGGTGCGTTTAAGCTTCTGGTATAACCAGGAAGAACTTGTATATAGATTGTAGTTTGTATTATAATTAGAAAAGATTTTATACGTGTAATGTAAGAAAAGGATAGCAACGTTGAATGTAATATTCGAATTTAGCGATAAATCGAGAATAAAGATACATTTTTATGTCAAATTCACAGTAGATTTCATTTGATGTTTCAGATAAACCATCTATGGATTCGCCAGCTACGGCGCACGCGGCTCTCAGAGAGATCGTCGAGCGAGCTGTCGAGGAAGCTCGGAAGTTACCGGGATTGGGTGCATCTGCGGATACCGAGCATCCTCGAGAAGGTCGCCCAATCGCTGATCATAGTTATGAGGACTTACTCGCCACCGCGATACTTAATAAGGTTGCTTAGATATGCTAGAATATTTTATCAATATATATCTTACACACACACACATATATACAACACGCAAATTGATTGTAAAAGAAATTAAAATCCCCATTACACAGTTTTTTAATTATTGAATAGAATACCTGCATATATCTTTTTTAAATCAATTATTACGCAATGTGAAACGCGCCTCTTATTTTACACAATTTATCGTCAATAAAATACGTTTGCAATCTTCGAATAGATCATTAGAGAAAGAATGTTTTCGCGCGCATTAAAATTTTAATATTATTTATTATTAATTAAAGTGTATACTATAGCTTTTTAAATTGAATATCATTAAATTTACGATGCGCATTTTAGGTTGTCGAAAAATTCCAAAGAGAACGAGTGGACGGCAACAGCAACGTACTACATGACACAGATTCGCCTAAGGCAAAATATACCACGAGTACGTAGAATTTATTTAACATATCGCGCATGAAGTATGGGATGTCATATTTACGAAGACTATGTTCCTCTTTCAGCTGAGAGCGAACATGGCCTTGAGGAAGACTCGGCGAGCTATACGTCCTATCGTCGCGAATGCAACGGTAATCGTAACGTGTCGATCGGACAACAAAATGGAGATAATCGGGAACCGATGTCTTTTATGGTACGTACATCGTGATTATGATTGCATTTACATATTTTTACACAGCGAAATGCGGAACGTAATGCTACCAGGACGCAGTCAAAGATGAATATAAGATATGTATATCAGATTTAAATTCTTCGCACGACAATATAATACAACACATATAATCGATATAATAAAAAATATTATTATATCATATTTTATTTGAAAGAGAGCGACAAACCGAATCTTATTGCAGATGGAAGAACGAATAGAAGAGGTAACTACGATCACGTCGGATGATGATGAATTTCGAGGCAACGATGTCATGGAATTCGAATGCGCCCGGCGCGTTCCCTTTCCGGAACTCGGAATGGATATCGTTGACCGTCAGTATCTCAATTTTAATTTAGAATATCATTTACGTGTATAAAAATATACGAAATTATCAATAGAATAAAGTGTGTATGACTATACTTTTATATACTTTATGATTAATAAAGTCATGTACTTGATATACAATCGTTCGAAATTTAAGAACCATTTCGATTTTTGAACAATCGTCCAATATGCTCTTAATATTGTTTTCTTAAAAAATATATGTATGTGAAAAATAAGAATTTTTTACAATTGTAAATTTCTAGCATAAAATACAAAATATAATTTTATCGCGAATTACAAAAGCAATTATTTATTTTTTATGAAAATAGCTCCACGAGAGTCATCGCCATCGCCATCATCATCGTCAGATTCCTCAGATTTTGATCGCGATGAATACTCGTTGGCCAGGACAAAACGTCATGTTGCTGATCGCGCGATGGACCTAATCTCGCCCGTCGAATCCTGGGAGGACAATTGGCTATTCCAGAAGAAGAGATCTTCCCGAACACAGCCGGACGCTGTAGCTATGTTGGTACCGAGTTCTAACGCGGATTACAAGGCTCTGATCGGCGACAGAGATGCTGAAGACACGTCAGATTTATCTGAATGTTCCTCTACAAAATCCGATGAGGAGATCGAGAAGGAACTGATGGAAGCTATTAACAACGTAGTCCCGAGAACTCCCAGGACATCCGAATGCGATGCGAAAAATAATCAAATGGAAAATAATTCAGAAGTGCCAAATATTAGAAAAGATGAAATCGACATCTGTCAAGTAGAAACAAAAATGGAAAAAAATTTGTGTAAAAAAGTTTACGAACATTTCGATGAGAAAATTAATGAAAATTTCTTGAAATCTCCGGAAATTTCGGAAAAGAAAACAATCAAAGATATAAATGATAAAGAGAAACTAAGTGAAAGTTCCTTTGCGTTGATAACGGAGGCAAAAGGAGAAGACGAAGCCAAAGAGAAATTTAAGGATACAACCGATTGCGGCGAAAGGATACTGGCGATCACGGTGAAAAATTCTGCACAAAAGGACACGCAATCTGGAAAATCGAACGATCGAACGGGACACGTCGCTGACGAAAACGAAGAACAACGAGAAAGCGAGTATACCGAGCACTACGACACGGCGATCCAGAGGCATTTAGACAGTCTGACGAAAGTCGAAGTTTGCTCTGGAGAGAACGAGTTGACTGACGAAACGAGTAAAACAATGAACGACCAGTTCAGAGAATTAGAAAACAATTCGATTGAGGAACAAGAAAGGTAAGATTCTCGAAATATCTTTTTTTCTAAGCATTAATTAATTGTAACTCATAATTTAATTCATTAATTATAATTTCATCGGTGAAAAAAAAAGACAAATTACAGTTTATTTTTTAAATATTTTATATAAATTAAATTTATCCGAATATATTATTTAAATGTATTTTTTTTATTATCTTATATGTGTTTTTTGTCAATCTTACTTTTGGTCTTTATTTCTGGTTTTTTATACGTATCTAATTTGCAAGGATACAATAAATATGAATAAAATGAGTCTCTATTTCGAAATGAACATGTAATAAGCGATAATGATAGTTCGGTTCCTTATACAACTCGGTATTGCATGAATTCCATATCCTGCTACGTAATTCTTCCGATAATTCCGCCGCGACACGTTGTATTTCTTTCGTAATTCTTTTCCTTTTTATAGCGAACGCTTGCAAATCAAAGTCCAATTATCTTATGCAACGACTAATGAAAATCACATTGGTATGACGGCTCAAAACGATCGATTAAGCGCCCCACCACGTCCAGGTAACTCAATTATTCATAATGAGACACTTATATATA